TCTCTCTCTCTCTCTCTCTCTCTCTCTCTCTCTCTCTCTCTCTCTCTCTCTCTCTCTCTCTCTCTCTCTCTCTCTCTCTCTCTCTCTCTCTCTCCCTCTCCATTTCTCTCTTTTCCTCGCCTGTGATCTCACTCTGCCCTTCGCTCACCGGATAGCTTTCTAATTTGTATTTCGCACCAACCTGCTGCTATGTTAACAACCTGTGAATGCTCAAAAGCAGGGGAAAATGATTAAAAAAAGCAAAACGTGTAAATGAAATGATGTATAAAAGGAAGACAATGGATAAGGAAGATTACTACAGAAAGATGAATGAAGAGAGATCAGAGCGAGGAGGATGCAGGCGTATTACATATGCAAACCACAGGAGCTGTGCTATGATTCCGCTGCAGGTTCTCGTCGTGTTGTTGCCAAGCGAGAGTTCAACGGAGGAATCGTTCCACACCCTCGGCCAATCGCGGCTGACGTGGAATGTGGCGCTCGCGGCGAGCAGCACAGACTTGTGGGTAGGACTGCATTTTGCACGGTCACCCAGTGGAATACATTATCATCTTAATGATGCTTTAGGTGCAGATGCATGTCTAATGCGCTGGTGTGGGAGTTTGTGTGTGTGTGTGTGTCACTCTCCTGTGGAGTGAAGAGGGCAGAGAGCTGTAATCACTCTCTCACACACACACCTGTTCTGACTGGAGGCGGTCTGCGCTGCGGCTGATAGGATGAGAGCGCAGGGGGAGAGATGTAGCAGAGCTCATGATAAACGAGTATGTAGGAGGTCATTAAGCAGAGCAGCGAGAGGAGGAGAGAGAGTGAGAGAGGGAGGGAGGGAGGGAGGGAAATGGGAGAGAGAAGGACAAACACAGTGAAGATAATTAATTTGGAGTTTCATTAGCAGGAACCTGTATGGCTGGATGACTGCATTGGTGCATCGGCTGGTAAACGCACATGAACGCACAATACTGGCGGACTTGCTTAATAATTAACAACTAATAATGATATATGCATATATAGAGAGAGAGACATAGAGAGAGACAGAGAGTGGGGGGACAACTTAAATTAAATATAATTGAGAAGCTTCTGAATTTTAAAAGCACACAAACCTACATTATAAGATTCTACATAATACATAGTATAACAGACATCCACAATCAGGTACCACATCAGCACACACATTTCAAACTCAAAAACAAACAAGCAAAATGTTGAGGTTGATGTGGCTCTTGCGGGTTTTTAAGAGGGTGATGACTGAGATGTTTATCAGCCCTTTGCTGTCCCTCTTCAACATGATGTTACATAAACAGTTAGAAAATAGAAGCCTGTAAGATTCTGGACAAAATCCTGCAAGAGAGAGAAAGAGAGAGAGACTGAAGCAAGAAGATGGGTGAGGAATGATTACTGATGGTAGAGAGAAAGAATAAGGAGGAGTTTGGAGAGACAATGATAAATCCCAGGCATGCTCTACATGCTAAACCCTGTGTGTTGTAGAGGTCATCCGGTTGTTGTCAGGTTAATCAGAGGACTCTGTGGCAGCTCTCTTCAGGCCAGGCTGACCCTCTTTTTCTCTTCCTCTCTGATAATTGATGCCATCTGGCCCGCCTGCCTGCCCCTGGCAGCATGACATCACGTCAGTGCCATAGCTTCCTCTGAAGCCTCCAGTGGCTCCGCTGTGCCACCCTCTCCTGGCACTGAACCCATGAGATGAACGGAGGGGCGTGGGGTGGGCGGAACAGGGGAGGAAACCGATCAGTTGTCTTATTATTTTGTTGGTTCTATCATGTATTTCAGTGGAATTTATACAGTATTGAATTTTGGTTATTTTCATCGAGTTTGAGGTGGACTTATTCAATTATTTTTATTTAACCACTAGAAACTAGCAGTATATTGATACTAATACCATGGTGTCTTTTAAATTTCACTACTGTTCAAAAGAGTTTTTTTTTTTTCACAGGGGCACATTCAATTGATCCAAAGTGATAAGAAAGACATTTATAATGTTCTTTTGAATGGTCTATTCATCGAAGAATCCTGAAAAATTATTTATCATGGTTTCCACAAAAAAATGTTAAGCAGCACAACTGTTTTCAACAGTTGATGAAGAAATGTTTCTTGCGCTACAAATCAGCATATTAGAATGAGTTCTGAAGGATCATGTGGCTGAATAAAGGACTAACGATGCTGAAAAGTCAGCTTTGCCATCACAGTATTATTGTATAATTTTTGCATATTTCACCTTTTGCACCTGCATATTGATTTTGATTACTAGTTTGGGTTGCTGGGTTGTTTCAACCCATGGTTGGGTGAAATATTGACAAACCCAACCATTGGTTTAATTTTTTTTAAATATAATTTTTAAACTCCAATTTAGAGTGCTTTTTGGTCCTGTGGTGTGGCAGATGTACATATATTCTCTCAATTACTGAGGTCATAAAAACTGCATGCATTTTTCAAAAGAATTGATGTTTAAATGCTGTCTATAGTTCTAGATGGGAGTGTAGCATGTCACACCACAGAATATATCAACTTCCCAAATGTGTTTTTTATGTAGACTGCTTTCATTGGCTTGTTGTGGAGCATTAGAAGAAACAGTATAAAATATTTGTGTGTTTGGTGTAGCCTGAACTCTGACTGTTGTGATTGTTTATTTTTACGGCTTAGCACCCTTTTGCTGGAATTAAACCGACTTCACCTCCCTGTCTTCCCTTTCCTGTTCCTTCTTCCAGTGGCACTTTACAGCTGTAGGCAGCATGTCTCAACACATGACCATGACCCTTTTATTTGTCTAACTCCCTCCCTACCTCCTCCTCTGGCTGTTTTCCTCTGTGGCTCCTGTGAGAGTCGGGTCGTGGTCCAGAGGAGGTGCATCATTGCCTGTAGTTAATGAGTGCAACGGGAGAAGTGAACTGAGGGCTGTTTTGGTATCTCAGAGTCCCAGGCCTGGCCTCTCTACCTCCAGATCCAGTATCGCACGTCCTCTCGGGTCAGGCCTCCTGCGGCCCCGCCAGCGCTGTTTGGCTCCCAGCAATGTGGCTTCAATTTCCTCCGTTTTGAAATGGTTATAGCCCCTCTGCTTCCTTCAGCGGGCAGGGACTTAGCTTTGTTTTCTCTCTCCCGCTCTCTGTCCTTTCTCTTTTCCTGCTCATTTTGATCGCTCTGTCCTTTAATCACCGCTCGGGCCCCCTGCGTCGTAAGAGTGCACAGAATTTGTTATGGGTGATCTTTGACCTCTGGCCTGTAGGGACACAGTTTAAAGGCTGCTCGGTCGAACAGCTCACTGGCAAAAAATACAAACAGTGAAATCCAGCCGCCATTATTTATTTTTTTTACGCTCTGGCAGTTCCTTTCTTGCTTCAAGCTCTCAAAAAAATACCTTTCATAGACGGATCATTGTATTGAAAGTTTCTTTTCAACATTAAAGGCATGAGCCGAACGAACGTTAACTGCAGTCTTTGCCCAAACCCGAGGCTTATACATATGCTACGGGCCCAGTTCCATCTGAACCTCTTTTCTTTCATGTAATCCTACGGGGGTGTGAGCTAAAGTGTTCCAGCTCTCAGACACAGACAGCTTGTGTAGTGAAAAATCCCGCTTGCTGAAAAATTAGTCCCCTGACGTAGTGAATTATGGGGCTGAAATAGAGCTCTTTATTAATGTAGTCCAGGATTCACGTCACCGGAGGTCTCAGAAATTATGCCACGCCGTGGGTCTGGTCTCACAGGAGGTTTTGCATATTAGACTGAGTAAACATAATAAAAAAACACGTTATTAATGGAGCTACAAGCTTGGCTTACACAAGGTTCAAATAGACAAACTGTGGTGCATTTTCATCAAAACATTCTGCAGAATTTGAAAATACTAGGCCTATGGGTCCACAAAAATTAGCCATAGTGACATTTTCAAATTAAGCATTTGTACATCAATGCTGTTTTCTTCTTGCTCGTTTTTTGTTTTTGTTTTTTACCATATCATACACCGTTGCATCATATACCAAGTGAAGCTTTATATAGGACAGGTCAGGATGGTCAACTAGTCATCCAAGTCAGAAGACCATCTAGTGATCTTTTTAAATATGATATAAATATGTTTATATTCATGTAAACATTAAAGTGTTTTTTTCAGCGTGCACAACTCAACCTAATGCAAATAGGAAGTGAAATGGTGTGGCAACTGCCATAGGAGTGCAGATCATGATTCACCAGCGGATATAGTTATACCAGAGTAGGAACGCTCCAGAACGCATCAGAAACAGGTCCAACACACAACCCACCAGCTAGTTGTTTTTCAAATATTTTTGCATATCTCACATCTCTTTTATGGTCTCTTTTACATTGTTTTGCATTTAAATCTGCTGTAATATATGTATCTCATAAGAAGAGATATGTAGCCTACTCTCAGAAGAAAAGGTACAAAAGCTGTCACTAGTCCTCTATTCGAAGAAAAAGTTGGAATGTGTGTGCTGGCATTCTTTACCACCCCTGTGTATAGTGTGTGAAGAATTTAAGAGTTCCTTCTTCGTTAAGAGCCCCATGTCCTGTCTGTCAATGACTGTGTGTTTTGGTAGGAGCATGGCATGTTTTCTTTTTCTTGCTGCTTGCCAGAAACTACACGTTCTGCTACATGGAGGGGAAGGAAAAGCACACTCATGTTTAGTCTACATAGCACTTAAGTCACTTTGTAGGGAGATTACTGTTTTCCTATTGTAGTCTGCGGGTAGGATTTGTGATGTCACCATCCATCAGTGATCTTTTGTTAAATCATTAAGAGCAGGGATGTGGAAAATTGCGCAAGATGGCTCCACCTAAACATTTGGACAATGTTTTACTTGTCTTTTGGATTTTTGTGTTATTCCCCTCCTGTTTTTCTTTTGCTCTATTCTTTATTTGTTGGTAGCCATCTTTAGTGTGGAACAACAGTTGCTGCCATGTTGTTGCCTTTCCGCCCCCAAAAAAGGGGAGGAGGAGAGCAGTTGTTTGAAAATGGTCTAATTGTGTTTTACTTCTGTTTTTCAGGCATCTGATGTAGGATCAGAGAAGCTTTTCTCGCCTACTGCACCTAAAGGTAAGAGCATGTTGTGGGTGCTATATAAATGTTTCACATGTCATTTTTCTTGCATTGGATGTTCAAGACATGATTAAGCCTAATTTGACCTTTTACCCCATTCATAAACTGTTTTTGAAACAAAGAATACCTCAGGGTTGTCAATAAATATATAAGAAACTTTCATTGTGCAAATTGCACTGTAGTAAAACTCACGCAACCAAATCCTTGTTTCACTTATTTTCCATTCTAGGAAGCTCTGTTTTAGGCCAGAGTTCAGATAGTCTAGGTTATTGGTGTTGAAGTTAATATTTTTCTCCCCAAACCTGACACTATGCAATATGTTCCCACAGGCAACTCTGAGCTAGAACCATACACCATTCACAAGAGTAACATTACTCTTGCCTGACTAGTGCTGTTCTGTTTTTCTCATTTTTTTCATGATTATTACAGTTAAAAGGGTTTTTGGCCTTTTGAGCCAAAGAGATAACCATCTTTACAGGTTCCCCTCAAATGTTAGGGTGCACACATGTAGATCTACTTGGTGCTAAATGTGGTAGCAGTAAGTCCTGGCCCGTCAGACTCATCAGAAGCTTGGGTTGAGTGTGTTTGCATCTCTAGACCTCTATGACAGACAGCAAATCTCAGATGCCTTGTAATCCTGCTAAAAGCCTGTTTAAATCCTATGAGACTGTTAAATGGTGAAATGGTGCTTATTTGTTTCCTTGTGTTTTCATTCATTTTCAAGTGGCTGCTGATAGAGGTTTGCTTCTAATGCGGTTTTGAGCTACTTTTTACTGTTTCCAGCAGTAGTTAAAGTTTATCTGAGAGCAGTAGGAAGTCGCCCCTTGAAGTTTTTTTTTAGTTGGTCCACATCCAGGTTTTGTAGGGGAACTAAGTTGTGAAACGAATTCTGTTTGTTGCACAGTGCGGAGGAGATGTTGAGTTTAATACCACACTTCTGATGCCCTGCATGAGTCTTTTGGAGAGCTTTTGCCCCCCACTCTCTGAAAACGCCGAAAAGAGGAAGTGAGAGGAGACAAGTCCAGCTCAGAGGAAGAGTAGAACTTGTGACTACTGTCGGGTTCCATATTAAAGTCATTTTTATGCATGTCTCTGGATGAGTTCCAGACATAACTATAGGAAAAGACTTGTGCAACAACTGACATGTTTAAAAGTAGATCAGAGCACATGGCTTGAGCACTTCAGATGTCAATATAAGAGCTTGTTCTTGTTGTTGTTGATATAACAGGCTCCCTAATCTGTTACTGTTGATGGCGAGACAAACTGCATCTTCCTTAATATCCTGCTAATGTGTGTCAAGCATACACTCTTCCCAGGGATCACAGGGATGATGCAGAGAAAGCAGAAAGTGGTAGGAAGTGCCAGATTAGGATTTGAAAAGAATGCAAAACCAAGAGTGGGAATATGTGGATTAAGTGCTTTAGGACTGCAGGAAATAAATATTATCGTATTAGCAATTTGATGCCCAGACTGTAGAGATTACAGATCTTTCAGGGATGCTTAACCTTTGAAATCCATGATGTTTGATGATGATAGTTAAATTTCTGACATCGTAATCTTTGATATCCAGGTCAGACTTTGTAACTTTTGATATCCATTAAGTTTCATAATATTTCCAGTGTGGATTTCTTAACGTTTAATGTCCTAGAAGTTGCATAATACTGGAAAACTTTGGCTATCTGTTCCAGAATTTCTGGGGCTGTACACTCAAAAAAAATGATATGTTGGCTTTACTTAACTTTTTTATGTAAACAGGTTCCACCGGTTCCACATAACTATGTTTCGTTAAACAAACATAATATGTTCATGTAACTTCAACATCATGGAATTTGGTCATTTTAAGCGACCCAATTAAACTCTGAGCTAATGAGTTTCTGTTATGGACCATTGCTGAGATTCATATGCTGATTCTTGATGTCTGTGTGTGCCTACTCAGGATATTTTTTAAGAAGTTAATTTTTTATATCTTGATTTGATCATTTGAATTTCATTGAAAAGGCTAAAAATAGTATGCTCTACAATGACAGTAAGATAAACTTAACTCAGAAATTGGGTTCAATATAAGTTCAGTGATTGAGGTCAAATGATTGTGAAATAATGATTATGTTAAATCACAACCAACACCATCAGATCTCCTTAGTTCATTGTTCATCTGGCTGTTATAACTCATGTACAGCAACCAAACAAAATCTAAAGTTAATAAGTTAATGGTCAAGAGCCCAACTAAAACACACACTTATCTGCATAATGGTGACTTAAACATTCCGGTTTTCTCCTTCAGAGATTCAGCTTGTTAACATCAGGTGTCTTCAATAATGCTCAATCATCACTCAGTTATTCACTTAATTAACTCATTAGCTCAGAGTTTAATTGGGTCGCTTAAAATGACCAAATTCCATGATGTTGAAGTTACATGAACATATTATGTTTGTTTAACGAAACACAGTTATGTGGAACCGGTGGAACCTGTTTACATAAAAAAGTTAAGTAAAGCCAACATATCATTTTTTTGAGTGTATTATACCTTGACTGCAAGTAACAGTTCTATTTCCTAAGTGAAATTAATTGAAATCGTGGTGGTTGTTGAGTTTATTTTTGAATTTCCTGTATGTCACATGGCCTTTCACTCGCTTTTGCTGTTGCCATAATCACTCTTCTGGCAATAGCATCCAAAGCACTTGGCAAGGAATGTATAGTATTATTAGCCTTGTTCTCCTGTTGTCGTTTTTGAATGTGGGTTTGTCCAGACTTTGTTCCATGGAATGCACCATTCCTTTAGACTGTTATTCTAGATTTTGGGGGTATAGGAGCATATGTGTCCCATTACAGTACGTCCGCTGAGACCAATCTAAAGCTCGCTCAGCTCTGATCCCCAAATTGGTCTGCCCTGGAGAACTTCTGGCAGACTGATCACTCGCTTGGCTCACGTCTTGCGTTGGAGAATTGCATTACAGGGAAAATGCCTCAGCATGAAAGTGGTGCTGCTTGCACAAATATGCATGTGTCTTTGTTTCTGTAAACAGCTTTCGTGCACGCTGGTGCTTGATTTGATTGATTTTGTGCCCTCAGTCAAGTACTGCGGTGACATACAAGTTTCGTATCAGCTTAACAGCTGTTTAGTTTTACTGTAAATCGGTTCTTACATAATTACCACAATCGCTGTGCTTTTCGTAACTTTATAAGAGGCTTGCTCTCCATCTAGCAGTGCCAGGGTTTTCTTGCCCTGAATGAAAGCATAGTGAATTCATGCTCATAACTTATATACCTATATTAGTTCATCTGTTCAATTGTTATAGCTATTGTTCATAGAACTGTCTAACGTTCATTCTGTCTATCCATTCTATCAATGTGGCGTTCTTCCTTTCTTTGGTCTAGATAACGTTTGTTCTGTCATTCTATCTACTGCTTGTACGATCTATAGTTCTATCTATCGTTCTCTCTGTCAATCATTCTATCACATATCTGTTTTACATGTATTATTTACTCTATGTGTGGAACTAGAGTACAGCTAATGCAGAGCTATATATGGTGATTGTTGGACCTAGAACCGTGTGCAGCATCTGCCTGTAGCACAATAAGGTTAGAGGCTTTAAGCATAGTTGGGAGGGGGGTTGCTCTCTTTCTCTTCATTATACCCATCAGTGAAGCGGTGACGCACCCATTTTGTGTGTGAGGTCTGTCAGGCAAACCCGGGGCATGCTGGGATAGCGAAGGAAGATTGTGGTGAAAAGCCATTTGTGAAGTGGATTTCTGGTTTGCTAATCCTGATTAATTTTGACCCGTTGTGCTCATTTTAAACAGCGTATTACTGTACGCGAGAAGCACCGCCAGCTTCGGGCCAAACTGAGAGCTTAGCGGCTTTGGAAGGCTTAACAGCAGATGGCATTTTAAGCCGGACTTAATAAATTGTTTCCATTAAACTTACCGGCCCACACATAGTGGATTAGGACTATAGAACAAAGAAAGAAAGAGAGTGAGAAAGCAACAAAAGAAGGGGGGTGACGGCCATTGCCACATCCTCACAAGATCAAATTGATAACGCGCCGGTTTTCTCTGTTAATCCACCGTTGCAGAAATCTGTCTGCTCACCAACACAGGAAAACAAATTGACCCAACTAATTTATTATGAATAATATTTACAGTCCATACCGTTATCGTAACGCATGTAATTCCGGATTAAGGGCCACGTCTGGTCGTCACACGTTATACTCTGTTTTTCTTGATAGCATTTGGCTGAATCAATTCCGCAGAGGATGGGTGCTACTCCCCCCCCCCCCCCCCACCCTGCCTCCCCTCCACCGTCCCCAGGGAGCCGCAGGGTCGTTCTCTAAGCACTCATTATATGCTACACGGCTCAGGGTCTCCGTGTCGAATCGCTAATCAAGCACTCTGTCTGCAGGCCCACGATTCAATAGCCGTTGAGTGGCCTTTGTTCCTACCCGCTATTTGCTGCATGTCAATAAAAGTCTGCTCCCTGCTCCGCCTTGGCGGATGAGCCCCCCTTCGCACACGCCCTCCCCTCAGTCCTTCAGAATATAAAATGCACTCTCTTCTCTCCTCTCCTGCATGGGTGAAAAAACAGAGGGAGGGAAAAATGTGTGGAGGCCAGCAGAGGTCAAAGGATTTGGGGGGAAACGGTGGAGAATGAGAGTGTGTTTGTATGCGGCTCTTCTCCTCTACTGAGGTTAATGCTGATGTATTGCTAACCTTAGCGCTGCAGTGTTTGTGGCCTCTTGCCCATTAAATAATGAATAGAAGTTGACCTCTTGACCAGCTAATCAGCTTTGCAGCTGTTGAATCGTGAAAGTGCAGAGATCGAGGAGTCACGGTCAGGGATGGACCAGACTTAAGATATTCCAAGATTAGCAGCTAATATTAAACCCACCAGTCATTGCGGAGGTTAATGTTGCATGTACAGGTGGAATTGGATTTGTATGTGTTTGATAAAGCCTGTCCAGCTGTTATTGTGTGTAAATGTTCCACTGCTGTTTTGTCAG